ATTTGCAAGGCAGTAACATAATTGTACAAGTTTTAGATAAGTTTAGGGTTTTAGTTTTTGGCTGTACAGTACCGTTTAAAAGATTATTATTATTATTTTAATAATAAATGAATAAATGTGACAAACAGATTTGTAATGTTACAAAATATTTCTATTTCAAATAAATGCTTTCTATTCATTGAAGAATGAAGCAGCACAACTGTTTTCAACATTGATAATAATCATAAATGTTTCTTGAGCAGCAAATCATCATATTAGAGTGATTTCTGAAGGATCATGTGACATTGAAGACTGGAGTAATGATGCTGAAAATTCAGCTTTGATCACAGGAATACATTACTTTACTCTATATTCACATACAAAACAGCTGTTTTTCATAATATTACTGTTTTTGATCAAATAAATGCAACATTCGTGAGCAGAAGAGACTAAAATCTTACAGGACCCAAGAGGTAAATACATATGCAAGATGATGAGGCAGTTAATATTATAACATTTTGAATTTATTATTATTGATAATTTATTACTTTTTGAAAACAAAAGCACTTGACCATGACATCATATCCGGTTCCTTCTAAAATAACTCTGTATTAATTTTACATGCTTATTATCTATTGTGTCCACCATTAATCAGTTGGTTACTCATTCAATAACCCACTCAACAGTCTTTCACCAATCACAATTCAGTATGCAAATAAATTCAAGATCGAAGACCAATCGCTATTCAGTTTGCATGATGACATCGCTTCATTCTCAATGGTGAACATTCTAACAGTGTCAAAGGGACGGTTTCCTCATTTTCTTAAAAAGTATAAAGTTTACAAAACCCAACAAGCGCACTTGAGACTGAAATCATCTAGAAAATAAAGTTTAAGAAGAGTCTGTATGCCTTTAGGGCTGAATTAAACGGCAGAAGTTTAATACTGAGGAAAAGAGATTGAGAACAAACCCAAACCAGAGTGTTGGCAGAGTGAATCTCCACTATCTTTCATGTGGGGGCTTTTTTTGTTCAGGAATGGAGACAAAGGCCCTCAGAAGCAGACAAAGCAGAAACAGGCCGACTGATGCCCTTGAGGCGTCACCGAACACAAGCGTCCTTGTTCTGGGGGTCTTTTAGCCTTAATGCACGGCATTGAGTTTCAGCTCTACTTGCTCAAGCTGTTAGCGGCGCTTTAAGACCAGCCCCAAGGCCCAAAGATTCATCCTAAGCGAATCATGACCTCTAACTAACTCTGTAGCAGTCAATGAGTCGACATTTCTCCAGCTCGAGGGGCGGCCACACATGCATACCCATGTACAGTAAAGGCCTTTGCTGTTTCACCCGTTTCACTGGTGCTCGCACACACATGAGGTGTGTTTCCCGAAAGCTTCGTTAGCCAACTATGGAGCAAGTTCTGTCGTTATCAGCAGTTCAACGAGTCGGTGTTTCCCGAAACCATCGTTACAACGAACATTCGCAAACAGCATCGCAGAGTTGTGTGTTTGAGCGACAGATCTCGAGCTGTGGTTAGAATAGTTTCTAGATTGCATGACATGTGGACTCAATAAATCCTTATCTTGAGCAAAATATGCAAGCTGACATTCAGTGCAACCCGTGTCTTTTATTTAGACTACATACAAATGTCATTTACGCCTTTGAGTTTGTTAAGAGATTTAAAGCGTCGTTTTTGAAGAGTGCGCATGTAAGAATGAGCTTATGATTGAATCTGGAAATAAAGCAAAATAAATTCCTCAGATGCCATGTACGGACATTTATACGTAATTTATAGCGAAACATCTAGGATTAATTAGATTCAAGTAGATTAATTAAAAGTAGTTATTACTCAACTACGTGTGTGACATCATTAACACATCACCGATGCATCGTACTAGTAAAGCAGCGAGTTACGTCGTTGTACGTAGGGATGTCAACGATTAATCGATGATCGATTAATTGTAGATAACACGTTTAATCGATAAACCTTATCGATCATCGATTAAGCAGGTTCATTCGCGTGCGTGCTGCTCAACCGCGAAACATGTAAGCGAGCGCGCCGGAGTTATGTTTGGGACTATTTTACACCTTCATCATGACTATAAGTTTGCGTGTGCATTCGCTGCCTTTTGTTTTGTGCAAATGTAAGTTGTAATAGTTTATTTTGTGTGTGCCTATCTATATCTGATTTATCTCATATTGGATGCATTTGGTTAAGAATTGACGCAGCGTGATCTTTAGCGCGCGCAGCTCAAATGGCAATGCACGACTAATAACGACTATTGGGACTGTCATATTATATAACATTATAAAGAGAACAATATTGTAATAAAACATTGTGAATTATTTGGGTTTAGTTGCCGTGTCGCGTTGTTCCAGGAAGAGCGCGTCCACAACATGAGTCATTCTGAATGGCACGTAACTTAGTTCAAGTTCACTTGTGCATTCACGTCATTTTGTGCAGATATTATTTGTAATATTATGTTTATTTTGTATATATCTGATTAATCTCATAGGATGCGTTTCTTTGAGTTAAATAACGTGCAAGCAAAGTGCTCAACGGTTAAGTTATTCATTCAGCGCGCGCCGCTCAAGCAGAATGCACGACTAATAACGAGGATTAATTTGGGACTGTCATATTACATAACTTGAGAACACTATTTTATTAAATCGGTGTGAATTCATTGGGTTTAGTTGCCGTTTTAAGTGCGTTGTTCCAGGAAGAGCACGCGTCCACAAGTCACACATTCTGACAAGCGCATCATGAGACGGCGTTGGTGACACGTTGTATTAGTCGTTATATTTGATTATTAAATATTTAATTTAATTCAGGGCCTGAATTTCGTTTTGGAAAATGGGGGGGAAATCCCCCCTTAGATGATTCTCATGGGGGGGATTTTTCTTTGAGGGGGAGAAGGGCGGGGGGCATTTTTTCCAAACAAAAATTACATTTATCTTGCCTAAATGTTTGCGCTCATTGCATTTTTACAATGGGGTAATATTGTTGTTAACAGTTTACACAACACAAGGAAGCTTGATTTAAACTGTTTAATTAAATTGAAAAAAGTAGCACAAATAAATACAATAGAATAAAGATACAAATAAAGACAAATAAAGAGAAAAGTTTTTCAATGGGTCTAACTTCATATAGGCCTACAGAAACTGAATAAAGTAATCAAATGGAAAATAACACTGGGTAGTATTTTAGTCCTGAATAAATTAAATATATATAGGCTATTAATCCTGATTCCTTTAACTTAAAGCTATATTTTGTTGTTTTGACAACTAAATTAATGAGCTAGTGCACGGATCCTGTGTTCATTATACTGGCATGCGTTTTATGCTTATTAAAAGACAAAACCGACTATGTTTAGAGTATACTCACGAAGACCGAAATTGACACAATTTTGCGTGTTAAAGCAATATAATCCGCGAAAAATAACTTTTGTTACTGGCCAGCTGTTTTTGAGGCGGATTTTCTATGAATGTGCGCATAGAAAATAATCTCTCAGAGAGCGCGCGAGCACTGATTAGTTTAAAATCGCTTGAATGTTTAAACTGGTAAGACTTAAAAAGACGTGCAAATGGTAAACTTCAGTCACGATGCACTGCTGGCCCGATTGTGCAAGTGAATATTCCGTCATGTCCCGACTCCTAAACGCGAGTGTGTATTATCGCCGCAGCGCTTGATGCCTGCCTTGCACAACACATTTTGAGAGAAGAGAAAGAAGACGCGGCACGCTGAACACTCACGCTGTTTGTGAAATTGCGCCTGGCAGATAGTTGTTAAAAGAATGATTTGATTTTATAATCTGTGTGGATTACGATTGCGGGAATTTCCTGCATTATAAATGGGAGACCTGCGGGAATTATTAGAATTATGCGCAATACCCGCAATCCCGCGCCGAAATTCGAGCCCTGAAATTTAATTATCAATCACATGAAACATTTTACAATCCTACTAGCCCTTTATTTAGATTAAAACAATTCTCATTAATTTGGTGAGGAACATAGCGGTTTGAGCAGCATTTGCAGACGCTGTCATGCTGTTGGCCATATGCACTGCAGCAGACGCCTATTGCAGTATTAAGGCTAATGATTAATCGATTAATTGATCGTTAATTTAAACGACGATCGATCATGGGAATTTGTGAAAATTGACATCCCTAACGGGAACACACACTCCAGACTGGGGAAATTAACGGGGGACTGGGGCAAAAATGCTTATGGTGAAAAGATAATGAGATATGGTGAAAAAAAAAAGTCTCTGTATGTTTTTAATATTTATAAACAATATCACGCGAGCAAAAGTGCCATTTTCCCGAATAACAGCAGCATTGTTGCAAACGTGATATTGATTTTATACAGCAGTTCAATAAACAATAATTTAATAGGCTACACTCTAAAAAATGTTGGGTTGTTTCAACCCAAATTTGGGTCAAATATGGACAAACCCAAATGTTGGGTTAAAAATGTAATTAAACAATTTACAGTTGAAAGTGAAAGTTGAAGTTGGGTTAAAATTTTAAATTACATTTTTAACACAACCCAGCATTTTTTAGAGTGTATTAGGCACATTTTTATCAATATTGTCTGTTTTCCTTTGTTTTGCCAACAAAAATAATAAGTTTCAAACAGTAGAGCCATTGCATTGAAATATGAGGTTACATTGTAAATGTAAAGTAATTGCAGTCGCATTGCATATAATGTTTTTGTCTGTCTTTTTTTTCCTTCCACTGTTTCTTTGAAACGAGACTCTGAACTGCAAAGGCCGCCTCTGCGCTTGTAAACACGGGCTGTGTGAGAATGTGTGTAGGACTTCTATCTTTTCATTTGGGTGATTGGGAACATTAACATCACTGATTAACCTCCTGGCTGATCATCAAACGCTCATTCTGACATCAGTGCCTGTTTAGAGGACATGAACTTACACTACAGAGAAACTTTGAGGCTAGCTTTACAAAGGTTGTTACAGACAAACTAAGTTTGCTCTGATGGAGTATGTAGTTAGTTACTAGGGTGTTACTATGCAGTCGCTATGGTGTTCTGGGTGGTTGCTATGGTGCTCAGAGTGTTGTACAGTTGATAGGGTGTTTATATGAAGTTTTTATGGTGTTCTAGGTGGTTGCTATGATGCTCAGAATGTTGTGGAGTTGCTAGGGCATTCCTATGCAGTTGCTATGGTGTTCAGGGCAGTTGTTATGGTGCTTAAAGTGGTTTATTGGCTTGTTCTTGGTCTTTGCTACAGTAAATTGTTTTGGTAGTTGCTAGGGCGTTTCTATGCAGTTGTCATGGTGTTCTAGTTGGTTGCTATGATGCTCAAAGTCTTGTAGAGTTGCTAGGGCGAGTCAAAGTGTCAAAGAGTCAAAGTGGTTTTTTGGCTTGTTCTGGGTCTTTGCTACAGTAGATTGTTTAGGTAGTTGCTAGGGCGTTTCCATATAGTTGTTATGGTGTTGTAGTTGGTTGCTATGATGCTCAGTGTTTTGTAGAATTGCTAGGGCACTTTTATGCAGTTGCTACATTGTTCAAAGTGATTTCTAAGCTGTTTCTAGGATGTTCTTGATCTTTGCTGCAGTAGAATGTTGTAAGTAGTTGCTAGGGTGTATCTAAGCAGTTGCTATGGTGTTCAAAGTGGTTTCCAGACTGTTGCTAGGATGCTCTTAGTGTTTTTTTTAGTGTTGTAGGTAGTTGCTAGGGTGTTTCTATGCAGTTGCTAGGATGCTCTTGGTGTTTTTTTAGTGTTGTAGGTAGTTGCTAGGGTGTTTCTATGCAGTAGCTAGGATGCTCTTGGTGTTTGCTAGAATGCTGTAGTTGCTAGGGCATTTCTTTACAGTTGCTGTAGTGTTCTGTGTGGTTGCTACGATTGTTAAAGTGGTTTACAGGCTGTTGCTAGGATGCTATTAGTGCTTACTAGAGTGCTGTAGGTAGTTGCTAGGGCGTTTCTATGCAGTTGTCGTGGTGTTTTCTAGGCTGTTGCTAGGTAGCATTTTTTTTAGTGTTCACTGCAAAGTTGCTAATCAGTTCCTTAGGTGTTACTAAACAGTTGCTAAGGTATTCTAGATGGTTGCTAGAGTGTTGCTAGCTAGCTAGCTTGACAGATGGGTTGTATTGTCACTGGAAACAGGCGAAAGGGTATATTTTAACATTGTGAATTCATCCTGTATCTAAAAAAATACTACCTTTTCAATAAATCTAATTCTTTCAGGTCTTAAAATGTAGTGTGACCGCCCCTATGGCATTACAGTTAACCAGTTGATAATGTTTGGCTAGTTAGAGGGATGGGTTGGTCAGAACTGGTCAACTCTGGATGGGTTGGTAAACAAAACTGAATGATGCACACAGTACGACAATGAACAACGTCACAGAATCACAGATAAAACATCGTCTTTCCCATTGTGACATGGGTTCGGCTCTTCCCACGTCTTGCAGAAGGAGAGTAGCACCATATTCAGAAGAATCATGGTATAAACTAGTATCTTTAAACCCTGATCTGGAAGCAAACAGTCTCTTTGGAGCTTGATGTAGTGTAATATAATCCTTCAATTTGTCAAAATCTGCTTGGATCTTGGCAGGTATCTCCTCAAGAGTGTAAAAAAGTCTTCTTTAACACTTCTTGTTTCAATGCAGACTGTTGATAAATCCAACAAAAGTGTTCCCGGCTGATATAAGAATGTGTTTAGTGCAATATTTGAGTAATTCGCCCTGGTCGTCGACTCTGATTCAGTAGTTATTTCCTCTGAGAATGTAGTTGCTCCTTCCAGGCGGTGCATAATGTGACGGGATGTGTCCCAGCGTTTATCAGTTGTCACCACGCCGTCCAGGACGGAAGAGGACAACTGTACTGTCTTTGTCAATCCATCTCCAGCTCCATGAGTTTGTTGCGAGAGCGTGGAGTAGCTGTAGCTGTTTTACAGCAGCAGTGAGCGCAGACCAGGCCCAGGACCAGAGAGAAGACACCCACAGTTACTGACGCACAGATCCCATACAGCAAAGGCAGCTTCATCGAGTCCCACACTGAATATATGCACACGGACACAAACAAGTTAGTGTGCATTCTAGTGCTGTCAAACGATTAAAATATTTGATCGCGATTAATCGCATTAATGTCATGGTTAACTCGCAATTAATCGCACATTTTTATCTATTCTAAATGTCTCTTGATTTATTTTTGTCCCATTCTTTTTTCTAATTTTAATGCTCTTATCAACACGGAAAAGTGGACCGGCTTGCTTTGTGCAAATGTTTTTTTTATTGAAAACAACATTGTCAAATACTGTGTTCAATTTCACACTAACATTCTCACTTGGAGCAAATAATCTCTCACACAATGTAACACTGTCCATCAATAAAAGGGTGAAAGAAATACTGACGAGGTCCTGATATTGACGAGGGGGCGGAGAATTCGCATCAGCTGTGTGTGTGTGTGTGTGTGTGTGTGTGTGCTTGGCCATCAAGTGGTATTTCAGACTGGACGTGCTGCGATGATGATAGCTCAGTTCACAACGACAAAACACCCAGATCACTTTGGTCTCGTCACTGGAACCATTTGGCAACTTTTTAAGAGTAAACTTTCCATTCAGAATCTTATTGGCATCCATTTCGGCGTCTCGCGCTCGTCATCCACTCAAAACGTAACGTTAACCAACTATTTGGCCGGCTCGCAAGCCCAAACAAGTGTGTGCGGCGTGCCTGTTGTTTTGTTTCCGGTCTAGCTAGACCCGCTTGCGCTTTCAAAACGTCCTCGCGCGGCGCAAGCCATTGAAATGAATAGGTTTCATAGCGCAGTGCCGCGCATGCCGCGGCAAAAGCATGTGAAAAAAACGACAAAGTTTGCTAGGCCAAAAAGACCGTTAATCGCACGATAAAAAAATGAACGCCGTTAAAATTGGTTTGCGTTAACGCCGTTAATAACACGTTTAACTGACACCCCTAGTGCATTCATAAAGAATAATGATAAAAAAACAAGACGAATTAGTTATGATTTAAACAGCTTTAGAGCCAAACTCAAGTTTTAAAATAATTTATAATAATTTAAATTTTTACATGCATGCATTCATAAAGAAACTTTTGCATGCACATTAAGAATGTCATAAAAACAAGATATCATAACTTTGATAGGTGTGATGTTTTCATAAGCATGAGACAAAAGTCATATGGACTAAAGTTAAGGGTTTTATGGTGTTTCGGGGCCTTTTTGGCGCTTGAGAGATTCACTATGAATTGTTGTACGGAAAAGAGCTGTGTGACCAGTTTCATATTTTTCTCCTAGGTTTTTTAAAGACTTCCTGAAGACTAAAAGGATGACAATTAAACTTTTTTTCTGGACAGTTCCTCTACCAAGCAAATGCACAAGCTGTTTTAATATTACACATGCATGCTGCAACATGCATACGTTTCGGATGAATGTAATATTGCCATGGGAGTGAGTGTCAGATGCTGGCAGCCTCCCATTAGGGTATAAAAACCTGTTAAACTTGCATGACTTTGTCTGAGTGTTACATTAGCAATTCTGTGCATGTCTCTGTTACTCATCTTAGAATTTGTTCAGTCCACTTACATGCGAACTTCACGTTGAGGAACACTCTCTGTGAGGAGACGTCCGGCGCTTTGCTCCAGATCTCGGTGGCGGGCGAGCGGATCCAGGGTGTGACGGTGCAGTGATAGTCTCCGGCGTCACTGTCCTGTGTGCTGTGGACGTTCATGGCGAATCTTCTGTGTCCCAGGCGCTCCAGGCTGCAGTCGCTGCTGTCGTTGCGAGGGGATTTGCGCACGACGCCCCAGCGGTCCATACTGGCTAACAGGGTCTGGCTGCTGGAACCCCTCAGACGACCCAGGAACCACTTCATCTCGTACACTACATCATCTGATGGGGAAGAAATCACAGAATTATCATTAATACGCACTGCAAAATAAAGCCGTAAGCTATGCGAGGGCGTTTTACCACGGTTAAAGGAAGTTAAGCTCAATCAATGGCATTTGGTGATTGGTGAGTTAAGTTAAAAATGTATTTCCTCCTTTCCCTCTTTTGTTCAAAATCAGATCAAATCTGGATGACAGTGGAGGATATACAATGGAAGTGAATGGTGCCAATCTGCAAACGTTAAGCCAGAAGACGTAAATAAGATTTGGATGTAAACAATATGAGAGTTAACAAAATTTTAGAGTGACAACATTGCTTACTAAGTTTTATCCAATTTTAAAACAATATTGCCATGACAACAGAATGCTTTAAACCCTAAATTGACTGTAAAAAATATGTAATTAAATTTGGGTAAATAAATGCATTTTAAAAAATGTGCGTAAATAAATGCATGAAAACATACAGCACATGCATACATAAAGCAGCTTAACTTGAGTTAAACCTGGAATATACTTTTAAGAGGTGTTCATCTTCTGCTCAGTGTGCAGAGAGTAGTGAACACTGCTTAGGGACCTTGTGAATTTAGTTACAAAGCAACATCAAATTAAAAATTGTGGCATGTGTTTTTTTCCTCTCAATATAATATAATAACCTTGAGTCATAAGAAGATATTAAGTTTCTAATCTACCTTGCTGTGGAGCATAAAAAGCAGAGAAAAAAAATGCCTCTAGATTCAAAAATACTACCAACGAGGAGATATTTTTAGGACTGTCTCCAAGATCTCCTAAAACCCTTTCCTTTGAGATGCATTTATTTAAGGATCTTCCACCACATTTTTTAGCCTAGCTTATTACTATGGAGGTCGTGCCAAGATCTCATCAAATTGCAAATCTTTCGGCTTCATTTCTTGCAAAAGTCTTTTCCCCTCACTAACACATACTGGTTCAAAGAACACAAGATCAATTAGAAGATGTGGCATGTCCTATAAAAATAAAAATAAAATAACGCTTTCCATCTCCCGTCACTGGAATGGCAACGAAATGCACATCTATGCACAGATGTGGCTGGCGCTGTTGAGAGACGACGACTATAAAGCCGTGATGGTCTTAAACTAGCAATTAGACTGACTGTATGACGGCCCACTGCTGTCAAACCCACGCACTGACTCAAAGACCTTTACAGCGGCCCCCTCTCCAGTCTTACACAGATGAGGAAGACAAAGTGGGGAAGAGGAGGGGAAAAACAGAGAAAATGAGAGAAAGATAAAAAAGGACCAAAGCATTACAGGACCTTAACCTAGAAGACAATGTTATCGCTCTCTATAGCTCAGGAAACTTGAATGTAATTTTACAATGCATTTGCTATGATAACAGAATGCTGTAAACCCTAAAACTACTATAAAAATGATAATTTAAACAGCTTTACAACTATTATGCACAAGTTTTCCTAGAATAATTCATATAAATGCACTACTAGATAATTGCACAAATAATCAAATGGATAAATAAAATACCCAAATTAATATATAAATGCATAAATAAAAATAAATATATCCATAAATAAATGCATGAATAAACAATTAAAATGCAAAAATAAATGCATGCATAAATAAATAAGTGCATGAGTGAGTGAATGACTGAGTGAGTGATTAAATGACTGAGTGAGTAAATTACTGAGTGAGTGAGTAAATGACTGAGTGAGTAAATGACTGAGTGAGTGAGTGAGTGATTGAGTGAGTAAATGACTGAGTGAGTAAGTGAGTGAGTGAGTGAGTAAATGACTGAGTGAGTGAGTGAGTAAATTACTGAGTGAGTGAGTGAGTAAATGACTGAGTGAGTGAGTGAGTAAATTACTGAGTGAGTAAGTGAGTGAGTAAATGACTGAGTGAGTGAGTGAGTAAATTACTGAGTGAGTGAGTGAGTAAGTGAGTGAGTGAGTGAGTGAGTAAATGACTGAGTGAGTGAGTGAGTGCGTGAGTGAGTAAATGACTGAGTGAGTGAGTGAGTGAGTAAATTACTGAGTGAGTGAGTGAGTGAGTAAGTGAGTGAGTGAGTGAGTGATTGAGTGAGTAAATGACTGAGTGAGTGAGTAAGTGAGTGAGTGAGTGAGTGAGTGATTGAGTGAGTAAATGACTGAGTGAGTGAGTGAGTAAATGACTGAGTGAGTGAGTAAATTACTGAGTGAGTAAGTGAGTGAGTGAGTGAGTGAGTAAATGACTGAGTGAGTGAGTGAGTAAATTACTGAGTGAGTAAGTGAGTGAGTAAATGACTGAGTGAGTGAGTAAATTACTGAGTGAGTGAGTGAGTAAATGACTGAGTGAGTGAGTGAGTGAGTGAGTAAATTACTGAGTGAGTGAGTGAGTGAGTGAGTAAATTACTGAGTGAGTGAGTGAGTGAGTAAATTACTGAGTGAGTGAGTGAGTGAGTGAGTGAGTGAGTGAGTGAGTGAGTGAGTGAGTGAGTGAGTGAGAAGAAGGATGACGAGGTACAGACTGAGGCCCCATCCACACTACTGCGTTTTAGTTTAGAAACGGATAATTAAAATGAATACGATCTCCGTCCACACCAGCGTTTTAGCTGCGTATTAGAATTGATCTCCGTCCACATTAAAACGACTGAAAATCCGGATCACGTGACCATTCACCAACACTGGGCATGTGCGTGCCGGTGTAAACACAACTTCATTGATAAAATTATCCCACCATGCTCTGGGTTAACCCCAAACCGACGCTCCATGTACGGTCAACGCCGCCGCTGCACATGGGAAATGTCACAGATCGCTCGAATAATAGCTTGACTCCGGCGCATGTAGGCAGTTATAGCGTTGTAAAATGCAGAATTTACTTGTACAACAGCTGCTAGCAAAGATATACGCCATGACTGATGACACCCAATCATAGAGCCGAGCGTGAGCCTCTACTACGTCATCGTTTCTAAACTTCTCCGTTTTGGGTCTCCATTTTTGCCGTTTTAGTGTGGACGGGAGGTGCAAACGTAGCAAAAGGTCTCCGTTTTTAAACGAAAACGCAGTAGTGTGGACGGGGCCTGAGCAATCACACTCTGACTGTAGAGACGGGCCGACACAGACAGAACTGGCGGCCCAGAGAGAGACGCGTCTGCCCGTACTGTGAGCAAGGAGAAGTGGAGACCGAGCAACACTTCCTCATCAGCTGCCCCAACTATGAGGACATTAGAGGGACTTTTTATACAAAATTTGAAATACTTTGCCCTAACTTCATACAATTAAACAACAAAACACAATTTCAACATCTATTAGGTGAAAAAAGAGATTGTATCCTACTAGCAGCCAGATACATTGATGCTTGTCACAAAAAGAGAGAGTCCACGACTAATCAGTGATGCGCCCACTCACACACACACACAACACGAAAACACTAACACTGAATTCTAAATTCTTCACAGAATTTTTTAATGTTCATAAACTGTTCTATTTTATTTTATTTATTTATTTACTTTACACTGTTAATTTGTACAATTAATTTAATTTGTACATTTAGATGTTATAATATTTTACTATTTTGATGTCTTTCTAATTATTCTATGTATTCCGAGCTTTGGCAATATTGTATGATGTACAGTCATGCCAATAAAGCAATTTTGAATTGAATTGAATTGACTGAGTGAGTAAGTGAGCAAATTACTGACTGACTGACTGAGTGAGTGAGTGAGTGAGTAAATTACTGACTGACTGACTGAGTGAGTGAGTGAGTGAGTAAATTACTGACTGACTGACTGAGTGAGTGAGTAAATTACTGACTGACTGACTGAGTGAGTGAGTGAGTGAGTGAGTGAGTGAGTGAGTGAGTAAATTTCTGACTGAGGGAGTGAGTAAGTGAGTGAGCAAATTACTGACTGACTGACTGACTGAGTGAGTGAGTAAATTACTGACTGAGGGAGTGAGTAAATGACTGTCTGAGTGAGTGAGTAAGTGAGTGAGTAAATCACTGACTGACTGAGTGAGTAAATTACTGACGGAGTAAGTGAGTGAGTGAGTATATGACTGACTGACTGACTGAGTGAATGAGTGAGTAAATTACTAACTGAGTGAGTGAGTAAATTACTGACTGACTGAGTGAGTGAGTGAGTAAGTGAGTGAGTAAATTACTGAGTGAGTGAGTGAGTAAGTGAGTGAGTAAATGACTGACTGACTGAGTGAGTGAGTGAGTAAATGACTGAGTGAATGAGTGAGTGAGTGAGTAAATGACTGACTGAGTGAGTGAGTGAGTAAATGACTGAGTGAATGAGTGAGTGAGTGAACGACAGTGTAATTGAGTGTGTGACTCAACTGACTGAGTGAGTGAGTAAATGACAGACTGAGTGAGTGAGTGAGTGAGTAAATGTCTGAGTGAGTGAGTGAGTGAGTAAATTACTGACTGACTGACTGAGTGAGTGAGTGAGTGAGTAAATTACTGACTGACTGAGTGAGTGAGTGAGTAAATGTCTGAGTGAGTGAGTAAAATTACTGACTGACTGAGTGAGTGAGTGAGTGAGTGAGTAAATTACTGACTGACTGAGTGAGTGAGTGAGTAAATGTCTGAGTGAGTGAGTAAGTGAGTGAGTAAATTACTGACTGACTGAGTGAGTGAGTGAGTGAGTAAATTACTGACTGACTGAGTGAGTGAGTGAGTAAATGTCTGAGTGAGTGAGTGAGTGAGTGAGTAAATTACTGACTGACTGAGTGAGTGAGTAAATGTCTGAGTGAGTGAGTAAGTGAGTGAGTAAATTACTGACTGACTGAGTGAGTGAGTGAGTAAATTACTGACTGACTGAGTGAGTGAGTGAGTGAGTGAGTGAGTGAGTGAGTGAGTGAGTAAATGACAGACTGAGTGAGAGTGAGTGAGTAAATGACAGACTGAGTGAGTGAGTGAGTAAATGTCTGAGTGAGTGAGAAAGTGAGTGAGTGAGTGAGTGAGTGAGTAAATGACAGACTGAGTAATTGAGTGAGTAAATGACTGAGTGAGTGAGTGATATGGATATCCCAGT